CAGCAAGCACAAAGGCTGGCATTTTTATAACAAGACCAAGCTGAGGAGAAGTTCTGACCCAAATGATTATAGCTAGAAAGTGATGTCAATCTGATGGGCCAGTTAAGGTACAGTGTGGGACCTAGAATGGGAAAACTGAGGCATAAGTCCGTTTTCCAACATGGAAACTCGGTTACAACAGCACTGGAAAAAAGTGACATAACTGTTTTTCACACTTATGACCATTGCAGCATCCCTGTGATCACGTGATCCAAATTTGGATGCTTGGCAGTTGGCATGTATTTGATGGTTGAAGCATCCTGGGGTCATGTGATCACCTTTTGCAACCTTCTGACAAGCAAAGTCAATGGGGAAATTAGATTTACTTAACGGTGTTACTAACGTAACAGCTGCAGTGATTCACTTAACAACTGCAACAAAGAAGGTCATAAAAAGGGGCAAAACTCACTTAACAACTGTCTTTCTTAGCAATGGAAATTTTTGGGTTCAATTGTGGTCGTAAGTTGAAGACTACCTATAAATTATCATAGTTATCCAACCTGCAACACACCACCAGTAGTCATTTTAAGACATCTTGATGTGTTAAAGCTGATTAAGCTTTGCATCAAGCATCTCATTTCTTTCATTACCATCCAGCTCATGAGAGCTGCAGATGTGTTTAACCAGCACAACATTATTAGCAATACATATTATAATAAATATTCTTTGTTGGACAGTATTTCTCGTTTAATATTCCAATGACACAGTTTGAATAGGGAATTATGTTTAGATCCAGCATCTAAGATTCAGAACTCCTGAGAAGCTCTTTTTTCAGCTCTTTGTTTTAATGAAATTCAGTCATTTGATCAATTCACTTCTACTATACCAGGCATTACATCTGTTTCAATAACTGAATATTTTGTCCTATGTCTCCTTTGCTCCTCAATTATGTTTAGTTTGCATGTTTTGTTGTAATGCTTCACTTATAATGAGTTGTTTTTATCAGTTTCTGACAGCTGCCATCAAGGTTCTTTTATCGCTTTCTGAAAGCAAGGGGTAAAATTATTTTTATAAGCAATCATGAAATTAAGACAGCATTGTAACTTAGTGGAAGTCTGGGGAAATGTGCTAAGCGGAAGCCCTGCCTACATGCCATGAACTTGAACAAAAACCAGGAACAATTAAATCTTCAGGGAAAATTTATTTCAGACCTTTTTCCATTCCTAAATGCTAATTATGCCAAGGGGACTTTGTTTATTGTAAGCAAACATGTTATCAGGAAGTAGCCTTAATGTTTTCAACCTAGAGTATTTTTGTATTAAAGAAGCTATTAGGTGAATATCTATTTGAAATATTAGTGAGTGCCAGACTTTGCTCAGAATGCAATACAGGTAGTTCTTGATTTATGACCAAAATTGAGCCTAATATTTGTGTCGCTAAGCGAGACAATTATTAAGTTTACAATTTTTCCTGCCACAATTGTTATATGAAGGTTGCAAAAATGATCACATGGCCCTGGGGCACTGTAACTGTCACAAATATGAACCAGTGGCCAAGCATCTGGATTTTGATCACATGACCATGGAGCTGCTGCAACAGTCGTAAGTGTGAAAAATGGTCATAAGTCACTTTTTTCAATGCCACTGTAAGTTTGCTAAATGAACTGTTGTAAATCAAAGACTACCTGTATTTAGGTAAAGCAATATAAACCGAGTAATGAGATCCTTAGTCAACATATAATCAGCAATTTAACAAAGTCAGATTTTCTACATTATATTTCTTCCCATCTGGGAAGAAATTTTACCAGAAATTGTATCATACAGTAAGTACAACAGCCTAAATCTGAGCTTTTGACATTTTATCCCAATCTGACTCAAGTCACATGGGGATTACAGCAAATACACAAACTATTCAAGGAAAAAGTCCAGTTTGATGATATAAAGGTCAGATACTCATAGCCATTTTTTATTAATAAAAGGAAAGCGATTTAGCAACCAAGGATCCAAGGAAAACTACAGCTTGTTGCTATAAGCCTAGTCACATAATGTACTTGTGCATTTATCATTGCTTATAGTACAACACGGCAAAAGATTCTGAGCATTAATGAGAAGGTGACAGTTGCTGAGAAGGAAATAAAAAACACCAAGAGGAACTTATTTAAATACATTTTCCAGTATTTGATGAAGAAACAAGTAGAGTCACTGACCGCTATGGTTTTCAACTAATAGCATGGTCACAATTCAAAACCACAGGTCTTCCAGAGTAGAGACTTTATATTTGCATAAAAGGATGAGTTGTTTCATTCTTGTTATGATTGTAAAGACCCTAAGCTAGGTTTGATATCTAAGCATAATCTGAAGGAACACGTTCCAAGGAAAGACTACTGAACTATATCCCCTTGTATAAGCAGCCAAGATTGGCAAACTGGGTGCCAAGAGCACTCAGAAAGAGGCAACCTGTGATCATCTAGCATCCCCCTATCACTGACCATGTTGGGTGTAGAACGGAAATTCTGCAACTTTGAGATAAGATGGGTGGCTATAAAACAAATATCTCAAGATCTGGTGGGTCTCCACCCCAGTTCGAGAAGCATAGCTGAGAGTAGGACTCACGCATCTCCATGAGTGGGAACGGTATATCTACACTTTTTGTGAATATAGAAAAATCTTACCTCACATCATCTGCACAATCATAAACACAATCAATCCTTTGATGTTACTTGTAAAAAGGTTGAGCTAAAATCCATGACGTTCTGTTCCTGATTCATATTTTTAGCCCCCAAAGTTAATTAATGTTCATTCATACACGACGTAAGATTTCAATTTGGCAACCCAAATCTGAATTCAGTGTTTCTGTGCTTCCCTCTTTCATTTTAAGGAAAACCTCTATTTTGTATATTTTCCCAAAGTGGAAAATCATTTGAGCCAGTCCTGTTCAGCAAGGAAACTATGGACCACAATTCGCAAATTCAGACATTACCCAGGGAGGGAAAGCATCTATGCAAAGAACTAAGGATAATTGGCTTTTTACCTCTACCGAACTATATTAGTCTATGTGAGTATGTTCCTTTGAATCAATGTTCACTCTGGCATTTGGCTGGACAAATCCCTGCAGTTTTCTTGGCAAGATTTTTCAGAAGTGGTTTGTCCCTGCTTTCTTCCTAGGGGTGAGATAAAAAGTAACCTAGCTCAGGGGTCGCCAACCTTGGCAACTTTAAGCCTGGTGGACTTCAACTCCCAGACCTAGCTGACTTCATGCCCCAGGCAGGATTAGAACTCAGAGTCTCTTGGTTTTTAGCCCTCTGCCTTAACCATTACACCAAACTGCTCCTCTGTATTGAACTATAAAATGCATTTTAAGTCAGGCTTATAAACAGCCATTTGTCTCGTTTGGTTGTGACAAGCTCTAGGCAACCAGGCTTGAAATGGAAAGGGAGGAAGAGGTAGTGTTAAAATTTAACTACTGATAAATTAAAGAGGAACATTAACAACACAGGGTTAGATGCATTCATTTTTAAGGAATAGCAACTTCTGCTGAGTTCTTGGCAAAACTCTCCTTAACTACCAGAATGCTGGTTTCCAACAGAAGAGCCTAAAAAAAAAAAAAGCCACGAAGCTGTTGGAGGAAAAGTTCATACAACATCCAGGCAGCCCCCAGTATTAAAAATACAAAATAGACCATAGGCACTGGATTTTGGCGGGCTCAAATAATATAGAGGCGGAATAAGGTGAATCATATGACTGACATCTGCATTTTTATTTTCTCATGACACAAATTGCAAAAGATCGTGGCAACCCCAGAACGTTTAAACTAGTTTTTCTGCAACTGCAAAACTCATTCTAAATCCTGGCAAGGAGCGAAAAATGTCGGAATGCAAGAATAAAACATTATTATAGAAAAAATATCTACCTACCTACCTACCTCCGCACCCCTAAATCTACAAATAGGATTCTTCCCAACGTATTTGCAGTATCTGCATTAAACAGAAAGGAAAAGAACACCGCTCTAGACGAGAGAATTCTATCCAAAACGCGCCCCCTTGTGGCGAACAGCAGATTTTGGAAGGAAGAATGAGAGGAAGAGACCGAATATATTTTGGCAGCGCCAAAAGAATAAAGGCGAAAAAGAAACTTGAATGTATTGACTGGCTTGCCATTAAGGCAGCAACTGTAAATTTAAACGGTTCTCCGACTCAGGTTGCAGCCTTTCAGTTTCACAGCCAAAACTGAGAAGGGTAACAGAAAGAGAAAGACAATTTGAAGTTTTTACGGTATAAACAACATCCAAACTTTATGTCAGTAAAGCGACTATTACACCGTATCAGTTTGATTACAACTATAGCTGGTATGACACCCCCCTCCCCCGAAGCCTGTTGTATTCTGCACATGAACAGCCCCTTGTATGTAGTCCTTCTTCCTCCGCCGTCATGCTTGTTTGCCACCCGCTTCAATTTAGGCACCTTAGCGCAGCGCGCACATGTTATGATACGCATTGCTTCTTAAGCCGAATCCCTCGAAGAAAGGCTGGCTAACTTGATTCCAGGTAATTGGAAAGTAGCAAAGCCCTCTTTAAAGAAGGCAGTTTAAATCATAGAAACGGCCATGTATCGCTAGCTAAATAAACTTGGGAAATGAAAATAACGGGGGGGGGGGAGAGGGAGAGCGCGCGCGAATCTTTTCTTGTTAACTTGTTTTTATTTTATTTTTTTCACCAAATGCATTCTTACATTAACTGCAGCCCACATCAGGGCCACCCAAGGTATGTGTGTGAGAAGGTATTTCTTTCTTTTTTTTGTTTTTTTCCCCAAAGCAAAGCTGGGTGGCCAATGGAGGTTCTGATGCAACTGTGCCTGACATCCACCTTCTTGAAGAACGAGGCTTCCCTCCGTGCATTTGCAGGGAATAAAAAGAAAAAGCCGTGGAAAAGCCGTCACTGGATCGCCGACGATCCCCCCTCTCCCTCGCATAAGGCACCCTCCTCAAGCGATCCCCCTCAGCCCGTATTAGGCAACGCGCACTCACCTCCTCAACTGTCAAAGGCATACAGATCCGATACTCCTTCATGAGCATATTCCGACACATTCAAGGCAAACCAGCAGTTCAGGAGAAACGCGAACCACGGGGCACCCCCCCCGATCCTGCAAAGGCAAAGCCGCCGCCGCTGGTCTACAGCGCCCCGGAGGTCGCCCGCTTGGCAATTTGGGCCGTAGACGTCGCCGCTGCTGCTGCTACCATCCAGCAGGCTGAGCCAGCCCCCGGGGAGAAGGACGGCGAAAACACCGCCGCGATGCTCTGCTCCGATCTTCCAGGTTGGCAGCTTCGAACCGCGGTCAAGCTCTGCTGCCTTTCACAACATGCACACGCCGAAGGAGGGTCGGGAGCCAAAGGCGGCGGCAGCGGCGATCATACAAAGGCATCCGCCGGGACCGCTCCAGCCAGAGGCATTTCTTAACCGCCGCAACCTCAAGACATGTTGGCCGAAGCCGAAGTCCGGGCGAAAGAGGCTGGAGCGAGCAAAGCGCGCCTCCCGGACCCCGGGAAAATCGAGGAGATGCTTCCTTCCAAGACAAAAGACGGCTCGCTACCGTTTCCTTCTCCGCCCGGTAAACAAGCGCCCTCCGTCCTCTCCGACCGAGCGCTGGAGGGAAAGAAGGAAAGGAAGGAAGGAGCGGCGTCCGCTCGGTCCCTGGATCGGCTGCGGGGCTGGCCTTGCCCCGGCGGAGAGCCTGTCGCTCCGGGTCGTGGCTGATCGCGCCGAGGAGGTTCTGCCGCAGCAGCAGGAGCGGCGGCGGCGGCGGCGGCAAGCTTAGGAAGGGTGTGAGAGCGTGGCTGACATCAGCAGCCCCGGCAGGAAGGAGGGCCCCATCCGGCCAATGGGGACGAGGCAGAGCCAGGCAGGCGACCCTTTGAAACAGCAGAGCCTGCCTCGGTTGAAGCGGCGGCGGGGAAAGGACAGGACAGGAAAGCCGCTTGCACGCCAGGCAGCAGCGGGCGGGGGAGGGGGGGGAGGAGGAGGGCATGCTTGGGGGGCAAAATCAGCTCAGGGGTTTTTTTTCCCTTTAAAACGGGCGTGCGTGTGAACGTGTAAGTTCTGAGGAGTAGTGGAGGGCAACTGGCAAGTTTAAGAAATCTCCAGGGTCCGGGAAGTGGGGGGCGGGGGGTAGAAGCAATGAGGGTCTTTGGGAAGGATGGACAGCCATTTGCCTGAAATGGGATATAGAGTATCCTCCTTGAGTAGGGAGGGGGGTGGACTAGAAGACCTCCAAGGTCCCTTCCACCCCTTGTTCTGTTCTCTTAATCAGGCAGCCTGGACGGCGAGACACCCGTCCAGACGTGGACTTCGAGGTGAAATCTAAGGCAAGCCGAGACGCCAGTCTTTCAGCAGCGCAGAGAAAGGAAAGGTAGCCTCTGTTTGTGTGTGCATGTATACATCCTAAGACTCTTATTAGAGCCTTTTCTAGGGACTTCATTCCGACAAGACAAAGAAAAGGAAGGGGGGACGACGTATGTTTGTATGTGGGGGGTGGGAGGGTGTAGGTGTTGTGTGTATACAGGCAGCTGAGCTTTGATTCCTGCAAAGCCCATCTGTGTTGAGTTGGAGCACATACAGCAGGGCCCCGACTACACATTCCATCTGGTTTCCTTCTCTTGACAGATTTTATTGTGCAAAGCCCTGCGGGCTGAGCTAGAGAAACACTAACGGCGTTTTTGCTGAGCATGTGATCTTAGCCTTACATGCTTCACAAGGGAACTGAAGCAGAGAATTAAGGAGAACTCCATTTTAAGAGGCCAGGCCCCTTTTCTCGCTCCTTCCAAACCATCTGAGTATACATAAACATTATCTGTAATCCTTGCATGGGTAAAAAAAGAAAGAAAAGAAAATCAAAGTTTTTAAAAAAAATCTCTTACATTTCATAATTGTTCCTTGGGCAAATGATAACTGCGGCATACAGTATTACATTATATCCTTTCTTAGTTTAAAGCTCTGCTTAAATTATCCTTTGCCACTCTTGTTTGATTGGATTCTTCTTTTTAAAATGGGATGATTTGATCGGCAGATTACGTGGATTTGGTTTTGTGTCTGTTGAGAAGACTTGATTGCAAACAGGCTCCTTTTAATTTTTAGGGAGAGTAGCCATAAAATCTGTTTTAGTACAGTATAAAGAATGAAACCTGAGACATCTAAATGGGGAATGTATTTATTGTGATTCTAAAACATATAATATAAAGCACGAGCCAATTTCTAAGCTCTTTTGGTTTATATGGTTTAATTGTTAGAAAACTGTTTTGTATTTATACTTTCGGAAAATATGAATAGTTATTTCAGTTGTCTGTGGCTGATTGTTTTAAAATATTTTTATTAAGTAATTCACATGGAATTTCTCCTGCTGGAGTTTTGAATCTCTTAATTTAACATTGTATTAAATTACAGATAGTCCTCAATTTACAGCAGTTTATTTTGACCGTTCAAAGTTACAACAGCACTGGAAGAAAGTGATGTATGACTGGTTTTCACACACTTACGACTGTTGCAGCAACCCCATAGTCACATGATCAAAATTCAAATACTTGGCAATTGACTCATATTTATGACAGTTGCCATGTCCCAGGATCATATGATCACCAGTTGCAATCTTCTGACAAGCAAAATCGAGGCAGATTCACTTAACAACGGTGTTAATAACCTAACTGCTGCAGTGATTCAGTTAACAACTGTGGCAGGAGTATACATACACATCTGATCAGAAGAGAGAATTGTAAAGATCAGCGAAATGACCTGCACAAAGTATAGTGACTATGACAATATTAATAGAGTCTATTCACAAAAACACAAGAAAGGTGATAATACAAGACACCCTGGCATTATTAATTGAATTCAGCAAGTTAAGATAATTGAATTCAGTAGTAATCCACAGAGAATAGTGCTACTATAGATTTGGGCGAACTAAGAATATTTTAGCACATAGACTCACAACAAATGACAAATGTTACTACTTTATGGTTTCGACACCTTGAAGCATTCCAGTGGAACAGATGCTGCATGCATGAATCAGCATCACAAAAGTGACTGTGTAATGTAGTGATTCTGCTTTTCTTAAGGACTCATACACCAGATTATGGTGTACAATCTAAATATTAAGATATGCATAGTATACAGAAGTAGGTTCTGTTTAGATCTTGCCTGTCACACAAACCTTGACTTTGGATCAAGTTATGGATTTGGCAGCGCCTCTGAATGAAGTTCTGTTGTAAAAGATTTACCGCCGCCTGGGCTCTTAATATAGCAAAGACTGTGAAAGGAGAGTTACTTTGAAGTTTACCTTTCCTGACTTCCAAGCTTAAAACATCTGCAAAGTGAGATACAGGTAGTCCTTGACTTGTAGCCATTAATTTAGTGACCGTTCAAAGTTGAAATGGCACTGAAAAAAAGTGATTTGGGATTGTTTTTCACACTTATGACCGTTGCAGTATCCCCATGGTCACATGATCAAAATTCAGGTGCTTAGCAATAGACTCATATTTATGATAATTGCAGTGTGCTAGATCATGTAATCACCTTTTGAGATCTTATGACAAAGTCAATGGGGAAAGGCAGATTCACTTAAGAACCGTATTACTAACATAACAACTGCAGTGATTCATTTAACAACTGTGGCAAGGAAGGTTGTAAAGTGGGGCAAAACTAATTTAACACATCTCACTGAGCAACAGAAATTTGGAGTTTAATTTGGTTGTAAGCTGAGGACTACAGTTACATATTTACTCACCCTCCTTTTTTCCCTGTCTTCAAAATTATGGAGGGAAGGTGCAACAGAAATGCAAGAAAGGGGGTATAGCGGAATTGAGAGCTGATCTTAACATGTTAACAGAATTGGAAGAGACCTTGTAGGTCATCTAGTCCAACCTCCCACCCAAAATACCTTGGGGAAGATAGGAAAGATTTAGTAAGGGAGGGTGGAGGAAGGGATGAGCCTTTTTTTTAAAAAAAAAAGGCAGGCTGGGGAGATTGTCTGGCAGAAAAGATCATAGTCCCAGAGAAAGAAGGAAGTGTTAGAAAGAAATCCCATCCCATCTTGATTTTGTATTATATAGAGTAAAAGGTTTGTCACAATTCTGTTGCAGTACCTTCCCAGGATCTCTGCCATACCTGTGTCTTTCACCATGCCCCAGTGTCTTTTGATCTGGCCTATCCCCAAAGGAATGACAAGGATGTTAAAGGTCCCTTCTCTTCTCCAGTCTGCAGTGAGCCTCCATCAGGGTTCTCTGCCTGGTTGCTGGGTGGGCGTGGCCATGGTGAGTGTTATGGCCAGCAAGTCCTCACTCCGGTCCGCTGTTTAAGCGGGAACCGGGAAAGTCCCTGATTGGCTGGACTGTTTGACAGCTCCAGTACAAAAGGAGCTGTCAAACGGAATCAGCTGTTTCTCTCTCTCTCTCAGCTGCTGCTGTGAGCTGAGCCTCGGCTAGCCGCAGCTGAGTTACAAGTTAACAGTAAAGCCTGTTAGAGCTTTATACTGCCTCCGCCTCTTCTTCTAAGCGCGCCAAATATAAAACTGGCGACGAAGATGGGATGCTGATGAACTGAGGCAATTCCTGAGGCAAAAAGAGAGAGCACCACTTGTGAGTGGTGAGGACCTGCTGACCATAACAGTGGGTATGGCCTAGTCGGCCTCCTGCACCATGGTGGCGGTGTGTGTGTGTTTTTGCCCTCCCCAGGCTCCAGAGGCTTTCCTTGAGCCTCTGGGAGGGAGAAAATGGTCTCCCCGGGCTCCGGAGGCTCTCTGGAAGCCAGAAACAGGCCTACTTCTGGCCTTCCTGAACTTCCGGGAGACCCGTTTTTTGCCTTCCCCAAGCCTCCACTCACGCCCTGCACTTACCTGCATCCAAAACAGGCTGCATGGGGATTCCTGGGAAGGGCAGGGCGGGAGGGGCCAGCCAGTAGTGGGATTTGCGGGGGTCTCCAAACTGTGCAGAATCTTAGCTAGGAGCTGTGAACCCCAGCAGCCCACCCCTGGCCTCCATGGATTTTAATTATCTCAACAGTCAATAGTAACACCCAGGGCCAGCTAGTCAGAATCATAGGGCTGGAAGGCATCTTGGAGGTCTTCTAAGTCCAACCCCCTAACAAAGACAGGACTCCTTATACCATCTCGGACAAATGGTTGTCCAGTCATTTTTTGAAAACCTTCAGTGATGGAGCACAACCCTAGGAGGCAAGCTGTTCCATTGAGTAATCATTCTCACTGGTGGGGAATTCCTCCTTATATCCAGGTCCACCCCTGCCCCAGGGGTGGGATTCAAATTTCTTAACCGGTTCTGTGGGTGTAGCCTAATTTGTGGGTGTGGCTTGGTGGTCATGTGACTGGCTGGGCATGGCTTGTATGTAAATATTATAAATATTTATGTAAACATTGACTTTTTATTTTTTTTAAAAAAGCAACTTTTACCCCAAAGCAGGCAAAGCTAGCAGGCAGATTGAGTTGCTCACAGAATCACGGATTCACTTAGAATTATCTGCAATCGGCTATCTGAATCTGACATATAAATTTTTCTTGCAAGCAAACTCATATAATTTGCTAGCAAGCAAACTCACAAAGTTAACTCACAACCACCATGTATGTAAATATTGATTTTTTTTAATTAAAAAAAGAACAACTTCTACCCCAAAGCCGGCAAAGCAGGCAGGCAGATTGAGTTGCTCACAGAATCACAGATTAACTTAGAGATCGATCTATCTGCAATCGGCTACCTGAG